ATATATATATATATATATATATATATATATATATATATATATATATATATATATATATTGAATTACTTTTAGCCAGTTCCCCACACCCGTATCCGTACTAATTTACATCTAGAAGGATCCGGCCTCTAGATCCGCACGCGTGTCGGACACCCACACCCGTGTCCGAGCAACTTAGTTCACAATAGTGGATAGTGGTAACCATTTTTTAAGCTTCTTATTACATTCATTGTTTTGTTTCATGTATAGGTGTGAGAAAATGCATAGCAGGGATTGTAAAAATGAGAAAGAAAAACTAGACTAACACTATCACAATGAACAAAAAATGGAATCTGCAGAAGCTAGTCAAAGGATGACGCTCACTTTTTTGCTCGTCTAATTCGTATGCCATCTTGCTGCTACTCTCTTTCTAAAATCAGAGCTGTAATACCTTCCTACAAAACAATTAGCATATGAATTTATACTTCTTTCCAGTAAGTACATTCCCGATATCAGTGATAGTAACAAATAGGTGAGTGTAACAATTACAGCAGAAAGTCACCCAACTCAGATTCATCCACTTTACTTAATAGTCCTACATGTGTTGAGTTCAAATGGATCTCAATACACTGACTGAATCCAATCAGCTCTTTTAGAGCACTGTTAACCAAATTACAGCCAGTTAAAGCACCTCATTCTTTTTTCATTTTTTCTCCTTTTTTTCTTTATTTTACCAAATGTTGTTTTTTCTCTTTGAATCTTTCATTTGACAAACAAACATAAAATTGAAAGGGCTATCAGCAATTACTCCCATATATAGAACTTCACTTTCCAATATAAACTAATTCTACAAGCGGCAGCAGTTGTAGCAGCAGTGCTTTAGCAGCTATTACAATCGTAGCATGGCTAATTATCAGAAAAGATTGGCTGAGCATTATTCTCAGAATCTCAGGTGAACTTTCTTCTTGAGTATCTGTGAGATTCTCAGAAGTGCTACCAAAGGTAAGAGCTAACAGAAGTCCATTCAGGTTTTAACTGCCGGCATGCAGTCTTGAGTTTGTTGCTGTGAGAATGCACGGGAGAAAATATTATTGATTAATTATGACAATGATACAATGAGCCCTATATATATATATATATAAAATACATGTCCTACTCCTAATACATATGGGATTAGAGTTATTTACTACTATTTAACTATCAAACTAACACTCCCCCTCAAGTTGGTGCATATAAATCATATGTACCGAGCTTGTTACATATATAACTAATACGAGGACTAGTGAGGGACTTGGTGAAAATATCAGCAAGCTGATCATTCGACTTCACAAATTTTGTAGCAATATCTCCCGAGAGTATCTTCTCTCTAACAAAGTGACAGTCAATCTCGATGTATTTAGTTCTCTCATGGAACACTGGATTTGACGCAATATGAAGAGCAGCTTGATTATCACACACAAGTCCCATCTGACTAATCTCACCAAATTTCAACTCCTTGAGCAACTGTTTGATCCAAATTAGCTCACATGTCGTCATAGCCATTGCTCGATATTCTGCTTCTGCACTAGACTGAGCAACCACATTCTATTTCTTGCTCTTCCAAGACACCAAATTTCCTCCTATTAAGACACAATATCCAGACGTAGAACGTCTATCAGAAGGTGATCCTGCCCAATCAGCATCTGAGTATCCAACGATCTGCTCATGGCCTCGATCCTCAAACAATAAGCCTTTGCCTGGAGCTGATTTTATATATCGAAGAATGCGGACAACTACATCCCAATGACTATCACAGGGAGAATCCATAAACTGACTCACAACACTCACAGGAAAGGAAATGTCAGGTCTAGTCACTGTGAGGTAATTTAATTTACCAACCAACCGCCTATATCTTGCAGGATCGCTAAGAGGCTCCCCCTGTCCAGGCAAAAGTTTAGAATTCGGATCCATCGGAATGTCATCAGGTCTACAACCTGTCATTCATGTCTCCTCAAGAATATCTAATGCATATTTCCGTTGTGAGATCACAATACCTGAGCTAGACTGAGCGACCTCAATACCCAGAAAGTACTTTAATCTGCCCAGATCCTTAGTCTGAAAGTGCTGAAAGAGATGTTGCTTCAACTTACTAATACCATCATGATCATTGCCGGTAATAACAATATCTTCAACATAAACGACCAGATAAATACAGAGATTTGAAGCAGAATGTCGATAAAAGACAGTGTGATCAGCTTCACTACGAGTCATGCCAAACTCCTGAATAACTATGCTGAACTTACCAAACCAGGCTCGAGGAGACTGCTTTAGACCATAGAGGGACCGGCGCAACCGACATACAAGGCCACTAGACTCCCCCTGAGCAACAAAATCAGGTGGTTGCTCCATATAAACCTCATCCTCAAGGTCACCGTGAAGAAAAACATTCTTAATGTCCAACTGATAGAGAGGCCAATGGCGAACAACAGCCACGGATAGAAAAAGGCGAACTGATGCAATTTTAGCCACGGGAGAGAAAGTATCACTGTAATCGAGTCCAAATATCTGAGTATATCCATTGGCAACAAGACGAGCCTTAAGTCGATCAACCTGGCCATCTGGGCCAACTTTGACTGCATACACCCAACGACAACCAACAGTCGATTTACCCGAAGGAAGACGAACAAGCTCCCAAGTACCACTCGTATGTAAAGCAGACATCTCGTCAATCGTAGCATGTCGCCATCCGGGATGAGACAGTGCTTCACCTGTAGACTCAGGAATGGAAACAGAGGACAAAGATGACACAAATGCACAATGGGATGGTGAGAGACGATGGTAACTTAAACCGACATAATGAGGATTAGGATTAAGTGTGGACCGTATACCTTTTCGTAGTGCAATCGGTTGATTAAGAGGAGACAAGTCCGCAGTATTAGCAGGGTCAGGTGCAGGACATGAATCAGTTGGGCCTGATGCTGGGCGCGGACGACGATGATAACTCAGGAGTGGTGGAGCTGTAGAAGGTTGAACTGGACTAGGTGGTGGCACTGGAGCTATAGTTGGTGGAACTGGACTAGGTGGTGGCACCAGACTCGGTGGTGGCACTGGAGCTATAGGTGGTGGAGCTGCAACTGGAACTGTAGGTGGTGGAGCTATGGAGGAAGATGAATGGGAGATAGGGATTGAATCTCCAAAAGAAGGAACTGGTAGTTGATTAACTGGACCTGTGAAGTATGATTGGGTTTCAAAGAAGGTAACATCAGCAGACATAAAAAATCACTGAAGGTCAGGAGAATAACATCGATATCCCTTTTGCGTTCTCGAGTAACCTAGAAATATGCACTTAAGAGCACGAGGAGCTAACTTATCTTTTCCTGGAGTAAGGTCATGAACAAAGCATGTACTCCCAAAGACGGGGTGGAAGAGAGAACAAAGGTAAGTGGGGAAACAGGACACGGAATGGAACTTGATTTTGGATAGCTGAAGATGGCATACGGTTAATAAGATAACAAGATGTAAGAACTGCATCTCCCCAAAAACGCAGCGGAACATGAGATTGTATGAGTAGGGTACGAGCAGTTTCAATAAGATGTCTATTCTTTCTTTCAGCTACCCCATTTTGTTGGGATGTGTACGGACAAGATGTTTGATGAATAATCCCATGGGAGTTCATAAACTGCTGAAATGGGGAAGACAAATACTCTAGGGCATTATCACTACGAAATGTGCAGATAGAAACCCCAAATTGATTTTGAATTTCAGCGTGGAAGGTCTGGAAAATAGAAAACAACTCGGATCGATTTTTCATCAAAAATATCCAAGTGCACCTGGAATAATCATCAATGAAACTGACAAAGTAGCGGAATCCCAAGGTAGAACTTACCCGACTAGGACCCCAAACATCTGAATGGACTAAAGTAAAAGGTGACTCTGCTTGATTATCAAGACGCCGCGGGAAATGGGAGCGGGTATGCTTACCGAGCTGACATGACTCACACTCTAGATTGGACAAGTGAGATAAGCCAGGTACCATTTTCTGAAGTTATGACAAACTGGGATGTCCTAACCGTTTATGTAATAAATCTGGTGAATCAGTAACGAGACAAGTTATTGGAGGAAGACAAGATGCGAGTCCAGGTAATTTTGCAAGGATAAGGTAATAAAGTCCATCTGATTCACGTCTGGTACCAATGATCCGCCCTGTACTGCGTTCCTGTATAGAAACAAGGTCATCAAGAAATAAAACAGCAGATTTAAGTGATTTGGCTAAGCGACTAACGGCTATGAGATTAAAAGGACTACCAGGAACATAACAAACAGAGTCTAAAGGTAAGGAAGGAAGTGGACTTGCTTAACCTATTGCACTTGCCATAGCTTGAGACCTATTGGCCATTGTGACTGTTGGAAGAGATTGAGAATATGAAATACTAGTGAAAAGAGATTTTTTACTAGAAATATGATCAGATGCACCTGAATCAATGACCCAAGACTCAGAAGGTGAAAATTGGGAGACACAAGTCATGCTACTATTTGTTGGAACAACGGAGGCTAATCCTGAAGATGTCTGTTTACGTGCTTTGTACTGAAGGAACTCAATATAATCCGGTAAAGAAACCATCTGGATTGGATTCAATGCATTGGATCCAACGGATTGTGAGTTAAAGGCTTTTGATACGAATGTCATTATGATGTTACGCCGGAGAATATAAAGGTGGTCGGAATTTGATTTAAACTTGAATGAAAAGACTCGGAATAACCTCCTGTGTAATCTGTCCAAAAAAAAAAGTTTCGTCGGAAAAATCACTGTAGCTGCCGGAAAGTAAGTGTAATTGCTGGAAAATCTCAAAGTGATCGGAATCAAACGAAAAAGGTATGGATAGACTCGGAATTAGTAGGCGATCCGACTGTCCAACAGGAAGATTTTCAAAATCTGGCCAGAACAGGGCTCACGCGCCGGCGCGTGGGGCGTGGGTCAGATCTCGCCGGAAATTTTTTCCTTTTTTCCGGCGCGTGAGGGCGCGTGGCCGTGTGTTTTCCGGTGGGGTTGACTGGGGTTTGGTCGCCGGAGCCTGAGGAGTCGTGTATTGGTGTTGTTTTTTTGCACACACCAACAGAAAATGATGTGATTACGGACAGCCTTCTAACTCGCCAGAAAATTGCACGGCGACGAGGTCTTTCTTCCCGGAAGTCGCTGGAATGATGCACAGCGATAGGTTTCTCTGAGAATGCACGGGAGAAAATATTATTGATTAATTATGACAATGATACAATGAGCCAAATATATATATATANATACAATGAGCCCTATTTATATATAATACATGTCCTACTCCTAATACATATGGGATTAGAGTTATTCACTACTAATTTACTACTATTTAACTATCAAACTAACAGTTGCTTTTCGAAGAAGTTCAACATGTAAGACTTAAAAAGCAAAACCTTGCACAGATAAGCCACCAGTTTCACAAAA